AGGATAGGGGAAATTATGAATACGCTACAAATATATCTAATTCAAAACTTGAACATACTCATACTAAAATACTTATACATACATACCATGCACAGATTCCAAGCACTTTACAAGGAACAAATTCAAGCTTCAGATAATGTGGTAAAAACCATGTTTCATCAAGGAAGGAAGCATTGTATAGATGAAGCTTAAACTGCAGACGGCTGCATTGTAGAAGCACAGATAAGAAGATCTCCCCTAATATTTCATCTCCCAGGATTGAGATAGTTTCATCATACAAGTTCCTTGGTTGTCTCTTCCTTACCTGGCAGAAACATAACCTATTGTGAAACCCATGAAATAGAACAATACTAAAAACTGGTAAAAATATTGCAGGAGTGACTAACAAGCAAGGCACTACTGCTGCTCTCATCACACCGGGTCATTTAGCTTCCAACTAGGTTATGCTGATGATAAAATGTAAAAACATAGCAAACTATAGAGGTCCCCATTGGCATAACAATCAAACCAAGTTTCATAAAAATTAATCAGTTCTTATATTTGAATCAGAGGACCAATAAAGGCAGGTCAGTCATGGGTTTCAATGAAAAGAAAACTTATCCTTCACAACCCTAAAACTCATGGTTGTCTTGTATAAAATGATTCCATCCTACCTGTGTCACACATAAATTCTAGAATTCTGAAATGCAGTAAAACCTCACTACTTCAGTGTACTTATTTTATTTTTCTGAATAGAGATTTTCTGAAATAAGAATGTTACGATACAATTTCCCAGTTCTTGTCGGCTTTGATAAGTATTGAAATACACACACAGTATCCAATTTGTTCTTCTTCTTCTATATGATTTGAGTTCTTTGTATGATTTTGCTTCTAATATAAACATTTTACAAAATGTAATTTTTCTTTCCTTATATTTGTGTCCTAACATCACCTAAGTTAACATGTGCTGTTGGACTGTGAATAAAACTGATTGTTTTTATTAACCATGATTTGAAAATATTTACACACAATTACATTCTTTAAATCATGCTTTTTCACTAATTCATACTACTGGAAAACAGAGTCTGATAAATGATGATATTTTCATAGACACAGTGTGTTAGAAACTGGATCTGTTTCTATCCTCATTCAAAAGTAGAGAGGTATCCACTCAGCTGTGTTGATTAGACATAGCTAATCTCGGTCAATTGGCCAAACTTACCAGAATCTCTACTGGAACATGGAGGCACCTGTTGACAAGACAGGTTCGTATGAGGAGGCGTAGCATTCCCGTAGGAGTCGCCACTTTCTGTGATGCTTTCACTGCACTGACTGATGATACATAGTTAAATGCAACACTACAACAATATTAATAAATTGTTTTAAATATTTCAAATCACCTGTATTCTCTGAATCTTATATATAAAATTCATATGCATCACTAGTTTTCTCAGTTCCTTTAACTTTGGTCTGATTGTGGGAAAACAACAACCATTCCTTGTTTGCTGCATGGACAGATCTACGTCCACTATTGTTTTATTACTAGGCTACCATGTAATGCATAAAGCAAAAATATTTGTAAATCTGAAGAGACAACACAATCCATATTTCTTAACGATCCACTGAATAAAGGACAAGTTTCTCCACTGCATTTAGTCTAAATTTTCTAGCTGCTAGATTAGGCTACTTAGCACGAAATGCAATCAGTAAATTGTGAATGATATGGGAGGAAAAATGTTGTAAATAACTGAAAACTGCCCTTTCAAAGACAGTAAGAAAAAATTCAGCCTTCTTTCATCATTGAAGATCCTCTGCATATTATCAGTATTTAATTGTTTCTCATTTTTAATAAGTTTTATGTCAAAGGCAATGAGACTAGAAGACATAATAAACAAGTAATATTGCATATTCAGTTTTACCCATTGTGTTGGCTGGCCAACTGTTCTAACCAATACCAGCTTTCTGATATTTTTGAAAATCCC